AGTATGTCATTGATGTCAGCTAGGCCTGTATACCTTGTACATGTACGTGTAGTAAATAAAGATATTATTATTATTATTATTATTATTTATTATATTATTTTCTCAGTTGTTTGTTGGGTTATCTTATTCAAACTTGGGCAATGTATGATGGAAAGACACTTCTTCACGTACACCAAAAATGAAAGAAATCAGACCATAAATAGCGGAGTTCACTTCTCAGCCATTAGCGGCTGCTTAGCGGTATATTTTTGTATGGTTGTTATGGTTATATCCTCATTTTTTCGGTCTCATTTGATAGAATGAAAGATATATTACAGAAATAGATATGATTTTGATTGCTTTCATGATGAAAAGTACCTTGAAATTGCGCTCACAGTAGCGAAGATGTTCTATTCTTTAGCGAAGCTCAAGAGTAAACAAATGACGTCACCGTCCAATGCCTGTCTGCCTGCCAGGCCAATACGTAGTCAAGAATGGCTTGACATTATTTATACAATTATTACAATAATGCAGCAGTCTGCATAACAGTAAATCTTCTATTTTTTTGTGAATAAAAACTCCAAATGAAAAGCAAGAGTAATATAAGAGGGGCATGTAGCTGTGACTAATTAACAGAGAAAATGTTATATTAGTGCCAGGAATGTCTGCATTGTTTATTCTGGATCCTATTTTGAAATTGGCATCTGTTGAAATTGGCCATATTGCCAATTTCTGACCACTTTATTGGGTAGTTGAAATAAGTGAATGGGCAGTTTCTTGTGCTCAGTTAACAGACTAGAAGTAAATAAGTTTATTCAGGTATACACAAATACAGTTACATAGATTATCATACATAGTAGTGTATGTATAGAGAACCTAGGATAGCCCAGAAAAGTCAGACAAAGTGACTTATTTCCAGTACCTGGCTTGGGCTTGCCACATGATTTTTTGTAAATATTTTTTTTTTCTAGGTTGTTTGTTGGGCTATCTCATTGAAACTTGGGCAATGTTTGATGGAAAGATGCTTCTTAACGTACAGCAAAAATAAAAAAGACGGACGATAAATAAGGGAGTTAACTTCTCAGCCATTAGCCGCCTCTTTGCAGTATATTTTTGTATGGTTTTTATGGTTGTATTCTCATTTTTTTGGACTCATTTGATAGAATGGAAGATATATTACAGAAATAGACATGATTTTGATTGCTTTCATGACGAAAAGTACCTTGAAATTGAGCTCAAAGTAGCGGAAATGTTCGATTTTTGCCGATGTTCAATGAACTGTGTAAGTCAAGTTGGTTAATTTTATTAAGTGTATTCTAACCTAACCACTCTGTAATTTGGCAAACTCAGTAATCCGGCACACTACAGGTCTCAATGATGCCGGATTTGTGATGGAGGACCTGTATATGATATTTAATGAGACTTAGTAATTATTATTATTATTATTTCTAATATGGCATCATTTGTGCAAGTCGTCTGGCTACCACATCTCATATTTATGTTTATTTATTCTACTGTGGGGTGTATTTATCATCTTTATGTTATGCATCGTGTTTATTATATAATTTTGAAAAAATATCACAGATGGATTAATGAAAATGTGTATATTAACGTAAAATACAACATTTAAATGAGACTCCGTGATTATTATTATTATTACTAATATGACATCTCGAGATATAAGACACTCTTACTGATTTTAATGTGTACCTTCACGCCAGCACAGTATGCAAGTTTATTTACGTACAGGTATACATATGTATAATTATCATAGTAGATATAAAATATGAAATAACTTTTAAAAACACTTGAAATTTTGGTGTTTCCAGACATAATGGAGAGACTTAGTGCTAACGGATCTCACAGAGAATGTAAACAAACAGGGTAGGGCGCGGTGACCGTATTAGAAAGTAAGGTGGGGGGAGCTGTATAGTGAGTTTTGGTCATAATTTGAAATGACCGTATTAGCGGAACGTCGTAAAGCAAAACACCGTAAAGCGGGGCCCGACTGTAATTTGTAATTTTAAATTCACACAAATATAAGCTTTACTGTTTTTCCCTTATTGCAATAATTGTATAAATAATGTAAACCCCATTCACAACTCCCTTTTTGGGAAATGGCCAGTGACATAAACTTGTTTACTCTGAAATTTCCAAGAAATGGACCTTTTCCCTCCTAATTGAGCTTTTTTTTTCAAGGTACTTTTCATTTTTAAAGAAATTAAAACCATATCTTTTTTCTGTAATATATTTTCCCCCTCAATAAATGAGACCAAAAAATGAAATACAACCATAAAAAAAAATTTTAAAATTCCCGGGTTTGGGGGTTGCTAATTGCTGAAAAGTGAACTCCATTATTTATGTTTAAAATTTTCCCTTTTCTTTTTTGGGTATGTTAAAAAGCTTTTTTTCCATCATACTTTGGGCCCAAGTTTCAAAAATGGGCCAACAAACCATGAATAAAATTCCCGAGATAAGAGCAAGAGCCCTTACCATGTCAAAGAACCGTTTGGGAGGTCTGCTCGCTTGGGAAATTTTGTTTCGCGTAGGGAAAAAAAAATAAACCCATCGACTCCTGTAATTTGAAAAACTCGCACTTGGACAGCTCGCAAGTAGGGGTTTTCCACGCATCTGAAAACACCCACTTTTTCCATACCCCCTTTCCCCCCCAATTTGATATCCATTTTTTCTTTTTTCCTAAATCATTTGAAAACCCCTCATCACCTTACTCTTTTTTATGTTCACTTTCAACTTTCTCCCTTTTTAACACAAATTTTCCCCGCCCCACAAAACCTCTGCAATTTTTTTTTAGAATTCCCATAAGCGAGTATAAACACAAAAAGACCTGTTCACTTCCCTTTTTGCTTTTAATTCCCCAAAATTTTAAATCCCATCCCTCTCCTAAAAACACCCAACTTTTACTTCTTTTAAAACCCCCATCTAAAAATATTTAAAAAAAACATAGTAAACTTTAACCCATCCCGGTCTAAAAATTAAACTTTTCCCGGGGAAGTATCTCCCCCCTTTTCCCTACACAACCCTAACTTAAGCCTATATCCTCAAAAAAAACTTTTTTACAGCATTTAGAAAACTTACCACCTATTTCCAATACTTTCCCTTCATTCCCCACATTTGCCTCCACCACCACAACCCATTTCTTTTTCCTTTTAAAAGCAATAAAAATTCCATACCTTTTATTAAATAGGGTTAAATTTTTAGGGAAAAAATTTTAAAACTTGAATTAAAAAATTATAATTTAAAAATTTAAAGGGGAAATTCTTTTTTTGTTTAATTTTTTAAATTTTTTAAATAATCCCCAGGGTCATTTTTTGGAAATTTTTAAATTAATTTAAAAAAAAATTTTTGGGGTTTTTATAAGGGGGGAATAATTAAAATTTGGGTTTTTCCCCCCATTTAAAATTAATTTAAAAAAAATTTACCAAAAAAATATGCCCCCAAACCTGCTTTTAACATGGGGGTTTTGGGGGGGTGGGTATTTATAATATAATATAAATAAAATTTAAAAAAAAAAAATTTTTAAATTATAATAAAAATTAAAATATAAAATATATAAAATATATATATATATATGTCGGGGCCAAATTTTGGTAAAACGGGTCAATTCGAAAACTCTTTTAAAATTTAAAGGGCCTTTTTAAAAAAATTTTCTCTTAAAACTTTTTAAAGATATATTTTTTTAAATTTAAATGTTAATTTTAAAAAATTTTTTTTTTGGGAAACAAAAAATCATAAAAAAACTTCCCCAAAAACCCTTATTATAACAAAAACAATTTTTTTTACCCTAAACCCAACTAAATATTTTTTAGTTTTTTTACAAAAATTTTAAAATATTAAACAAACACAATGAAAAAAAATTTTTTTTTTTTCGTTGGGTTTTTCAGAAGGGTTTTTTGGCAAAATTAATTGCATACAAAAAATTTTCGTTTGTCCTATATGGAAAAATCCCCGTTTTTAAATTTAAGCCAAGAAAGAAATTTCTGCCTATTGGGCCCACAACATATATATATATATAAATAAATATATAAAATATATTATAAATATAAATAAATATATAAAATATAATAATATAAAAATACATTTATATATAAAAAAAAAATTTTTATAAATATACAAAAAATATATATAAACATATATAAAATTTTAAACATATTTTCATTTTTTTTAAATCACCCCGGGCCTTTTTCCCCCAAGGAAAGGGTGGCCCGAAAAAGAAAAACTTTAAACCCCATCATTCACTCCATCACTGCCCTTGCCAGAAGGGTGTTTTTTACACTACAGTTTTTAAACTGCAACATTAACCCCCTCCTTCAAGTGCAGGAAACTGTATTTCCCCATCTCCGGGACCAACCCGGGCCTCCCCCCCCGGTTTTTCCCTGAACCCCTTTCATAAATGTTACTTTGCCACACCCCCAACAGCACTCAAGTAAAAAAAACCTTT